AAAAGTTACGAATTTTCGAAGTTTGAACTCGAAAATGCTAAGCCTGATGCGAATTCGGGTGACGTGGCACGATCAGAGCCGTCGCTTGCGGCCCACGGTCTCGCTCGGATGAGCGACGCGTCGCTCCTCGCTACGCCCAGCATCCGGCTTCGTGCGCCCCGCGTCCGTTCGCTCTCGGTCCAGAAGGCGCCACGCCGCTTCGCCCTACGCCCCGCGTACGAGTTCCGGGTACGCCCCGCGTACCTTCGCTTCCCCTCAGCCCGGTGCGAGACAGCTGGCTGCGAGCTGGCACCCTTATCCGCGAGAACGCGCCGCGTAGTCTCGGATCTACGCCCCGCGTAGCGAGGGCCTCGCGCCTATAAAAGGAGGCCGAGGTTGCCTCATTTTTCACACCAAAATCTCATTCTTTCTCTCACTACTTTCTCTCTCTACAACCCCAAACCACCCCTAAGCCCTAGTTAAACCCCTAGCACCCTAAGGAAGCCCCGAGGCTCCCGGAGTCCCGAGAAAAAGGAGTTTTTCAGTTTCGAAACGCTGCTCCAATAGAGTCCCGGTTTTCGATAAAATTCGCTGTAAGTATGCTACGCTTACGCAATTTTTAATATAGCTTCCAAATAATTATAGGGATGTTATTAGGTCCTTAAAATAATTATTTGGGCTATTATTATGAGTTATATTGAGCATTATTAACGCTTAGTATCAGACTAATCACGGTTATCATTAAACTAAACCCTAGTGATATCGATACTAGGTTTTATCGAAGGAATATCATTTTAAGAGTATCGAAGCGCTGTCCGAGTGCTGAGTCACCACCTAATTAGGTGAGTGCATATTCACTTTCAACTTACACATAGATATGAAGTATTTAATATAAATTACGTGCTATGTGTGCATATTATCTGAATACTTGCTATCTATGCTGGATGAACGTTTTATACATGTTTTCAAAGATTTAAACTGTATATGTATTTTATATCTACAAAATGTGTTGGGTAAAACATGGGTAGATGTAATAGTTGCTGTGTGATAAATAAAATGATGAGAGGCCTCGTTATAGATGATATTGATGATCCAGTCATCTAGCGGAGTATAGATGACGACCACGGACTATTCTAGACAGTCCAGTGGAACACTAGCAGGCTCGCAACCTGTAGGTGTTTATTTGAACTGTGTGTTTATTTGAATTGTGTGCTCACCAGATGTACTCCATCCCCCACATGGTTGCCTATTAGGACATATATTGCTGAGGAATCCCCTTAGCAGTAGTGTCCATCCCGATGATGATCCTTAGGCTAGGTCCCTTATGATAGGTGTTTAGGGACGTAAAGTGAGGATAACGGGAACGGGTAATCGGGTTATTGTTGATTGATGAACTTAATAAACGTATTTATTGTGGGTTGAAAACCCTATGTGCTCACCAGGCTCCCAAGCCTGACCCACTCAGTTTTATGTATTATAGGAAGTGGCGCATGAGCATAGGTGTGATGTTTTGGACGAGGGATTACGGATATAGGCCTGTAGATATGAAATAATGTAGTAAGGCTTATATTGTACTGTTTATACTTTTGATCTGTACGAACATGACATCCCGAGTCTTTTAATGAATACATTTCTATGGAAATGCTTTTGATAAATCTTTATCATATTATTGTTTTGGGACAAATTCTGCAAACCTTTTATTAAAAGATAACTCTGATTTTGAAATAAAGTATAAACAAAACCGGTCTTTTCTGGCCGTGATTTTGGGGATGTCACAACGTTACCAATTTGTAAGCATCTATAGCCAGATGTCCGAAGTAAGTTTTTTCAAGTGCTTCAGGACCATTATGACATGACCACAAGGCAACCAAGTTCCTTCCCAATATTTGCATGTACAAGTCTCTTGCCTCAGATCAACTATGGCACCATGTTTGAAATCATGAACTTGATATATTGCATCTGAAACATCAGAAACGGACCATCTTATCGTACGCTCTTCATTTTTACTAACTACCTTTTCAGCCCACTCGGTTAGCACTGTTGAACGTTTCCCTGTAAAGAAGATATATATAATTAAATATTATTCGACCTAATTAAAGTCCAAATTAAATTCATACCTCCTTCGATGCGACGCTTGTTACACCATTCCCGTGAAAGACGACGGAAGAACTCAAGAAGGGGTGTTATAGGCATCTTCCTTGCATCTACAGATAAAGCATTCATGGACTTTGCACTGTTCAAGGTCATGTAATCATATCGTTTCGACAGCGAATATGCTCTAGTCCATTTAGCACAGGGAATTTCACTTAGTTACGTTGCTACTTGCGGCCTAGTAGAACTAAATATATACCACAATTCTTCAAAAACATTTCTTTTGTAAGCTTTCACAAGCCTCCAAAACAACACTTTTGTTTTATCATTTTTCCCAAACCTTTGTACTATATTTCCTAGTAGATGAAAAGCACACAAGCCATGATGAGCATATGGGAAAACATTTTCAGTACTAACCCGAATTGCATCGACCCTATCAGTTACAAAAGTCAATTCTTGACAATCACAAACACATACATACAACTTTTCAAGAAACCATGTCCAAGTAATACCACTCTCTTTTTTGCATATTTTGTGCGCAAGGGGCAGTATCTGGTTGTTCCCATCCATAGCTACGACATACAATGTTGTTCCCTTAAAATCACCCTTCAAATGGGCATTATCCATAATTATAACTTTACGACAAAAATGTTTGAACACTAGTAGCTGCAATATATTAAAATGGATCACTTAAACACTCTATAATTTGTTAAAAAAAATATTATATATTAAATAACAACAAGTTTTTTGTATTTACCATGCTCCTAATGGCATAAAAACAACACGCGAAACAAACAATCTTCAGAATCTGTTTGAATATAGGCCACTATACCGGGATTATGCCTCTTCATGTGTGCACGTTGTTGAAAGTCCTGGTTTCAAATTCATCAATGGGATCAAGGCGTTTTGCATATAAACGCCAACTAAAATTCTCATTTTCACAATACACCTCATAACGATTTTTGTTAGAATGTTTGGTCTTAAACTAAAACTTTTCTCTGGTTGCTTTAAGACTCAAAGAAAATATTAGGTGTAGTTTGTTATCATATGTTTGACAAACAAACATATCATCCTTTGGACCCAAACTGTGAAATGGTCCAGGTTCAACAATAGGATCAGGACAATAAGGTATGAGAGGCATACCGTAAAATATGTCTGAAGCTTTTTTCCTATGTATGAACTCATCTTCTAACCATCCTTCATTTGACTCTTCACTGTCTGACAAAGTTTTGTCATTCAGTCTTCCAAACTCACATAATTTTTTTCTTCAACCGTATTCACTGGCATAGTTTCTTCTTTTGGACACTCTTCAACATTATCATATACAACATTTTCAACATTGTATGGTACAACTTTCTAAATCGCTTCTGTCTATTCGACCAATCCCTCAAACACCTCTAAATACAAATGCATAATCTCCTTCGTTTTAGAAATTACATTTCTGAGTTGATGAACATCGGCTTCGTCTAAAATATTCATAACATACTCATGAACCGGGTGTTAAATTGACAATGATATATTACTATTGAACACATTAGCCTTACTATTGACCAAATCAAACAATATTCGACAATCAAAATTTGGTGGAAGTAGTAAACCTAAGTTATTAAACTTTGGTCTAACGTAGGTGTTAATCCCATTATTTATCTGCCAAAAACCCCCAGTACATAAAATAACAAAAATCATATTTGTTTTTGAAAATCAAATGAAAATGAACTGATGTATCGACCAAATGGAGCTAAAAATGAATAAGAACACTTTGTATCAAAAAAACCATTTAAAATCCGTTCCAACCACCATTCCGCGGAGGCATTACTCTCTCCGCAGAGCTCCTCGTCATCATCTCCGCGGAGGAATTTACGACCTTCAAACAACTCACTCCGCGGAGGTGTTATTGTATCTGCGGAGGCCCTACGCGGAATAATCTTTTAAACGTTAGAAAATCAGACTTTCGGGTGGTCCACGGAAATGATGTCATTCCGCAGAGGGTCCTCCGCGGAATATATGTCTATACCTGGAAAATTCTAGTTTTATGACTAAATTTAGAAATTGACCCCCCCCCCCCCCCCCCCTTTTTTTTTTTTTGGTCTATTTGCGGTATTTTCCCAAAAAATAAACTGGGGATGCATACAATATAGATTTGCCAAACTTAGCTAAAAACTAGGATACAAACTTGACTAGTTGCTGTAAACCAGGAACCCTTCATTGGCTACTTTGATTTATTCTAAAACTAATAAAACATGCATACAACAATTCTGAATTAATCTTAACAATAATTTGGTCTTCGTATCCTTTGGGCTTGGGCAGGCAAGGCAAACAAACAAAAAAGTCTCTATGGAGAATAATGAAACATATTTGTTGATTCCATCCCATCCAAAATATAATTTATGATGTTATAATTTTGGAGAATAATAGGATTATAAAATGATAATGGGTAAATATGATATTTTGAAAGTTTATGAATGATATAAATTATATTTCAAACTTAGTTTTATAAGAGGGTATAAGAGTGGTTTGATAAAAAAAAAAAAAAAACTATTTAAAATGATTATAATTTTTTTAAAACTGATAAATAAACTATCTTGGTAAATTTCATATTTTCAAAACTTAAAAAAAGTAAATATTTTCAAATAAGGATAAATAAATATGATATTTTTGATGATAAATACATATACAAAATTGTCCAATAAATGAAGTCAATATAAAAGTAGTGATCGATGTAGACATGTAGCGATCTGAGTCTTTCTTTTTATGATTAAAAGCAATTTATGAATTTATGAGGTTGATCTTAAATATTTGGAGCGTAAGAAAACCTACAAACCTAGTACTAATCGATGTAGACAGCCAAACTGTTGAAGTCGTCCCTCTTTTTTTTTTTTTCCTATATATACGATTAAAGGGAATGCTCTTAGAAACCATAAATTTTGCATAACACAAACTCAAATCAGTTAAGAAGATGCTTATGTCGACAAACACACTCACACACTTCATGCATCCGTCTCACTCTCACCAACTCACCGAACACACAGCAGATACCATATTCCTATGTGATGGGTGCAAGATGTATGGAACAGGCACAAGGTTCACTTGCCCACCCTGCAATTTTAACCTACACGACTACTGCGCCAAATGTCCCCCTTCGCTCCCTTTGACTGTAAACCACCCCCACCCAATGACTCTTGTGGACTACAAACCTCAACACAATCATACCGATCCTTGTAAAATCTGTCGTAGCCCAATTCAAGGTCTTGCATACATGTGCGAAAACTGCGACTACTGGATCCATCCTCCTTGTGTTTTGCATTACTTAGGTCTCCGATACTTCATACATCCCTCTCACAATCTCACTGAATTCACGGCGAATACAGACTACGTATGTAATGGATGTCACAGCATTGGAACCGGAAAGCGATTCACTTGCAGCCCCTGTAACTTTGATTTACATGAATACTGCGCCAACTCTCCCACTTGGCTCCATTCAACTCAGATCCACCATCACCCACTGAGTCTTTTTATCGACAAACACCAGCTCGACAAGACCAAATTTTGTCAAATCTGTCGTACTGTTATTCACGGTTTTGCTTACGAGTGTAAGGGCTGCAATTTCTGGGTTCACTCACTCTGTGCTTTGCGTAATATAGGACACGGACATGGTGGCCAATCCAGTATTTTCAACCAGGGTGTGAAGAACTATATAACATTTTTTTTTTTTTTCATGCCAATGAGCTATATATTCTTGTTTTTATGCTAAACATATTACAATTTCTATTTTCTAGGGCAATCGTATACACAACAAGGTAGCTTTCAAGTATCTCAGCCTATGCGGCCACAGACAGTACCTGCAAACTGGATTTCGAATGGGGCCTCTTCCTATAGTCCTCAAACAACGGGAGGTGACGTGGGAGATGGGAATGTTCTTTATGAGCTCCTCAATATGATTAAGTGTTTCTGTGAAAGTATTTTTTTGAGCTAGAGGCTTATGGTATTTGGATTATTCTTCCCCCGTAAAATTAATGCTTTTTAATTTTCCCATTTTATTATTGTACTGTTATTGTGTTGCTATTTATCGTATGAAACTCTTGCAATTTGTATTATGATAAGATGGAAGGAGTAAAAATGTTATAAGTGATATATTTGACAAGGTGGCAAAAAAATAATTTATCGAACACATAGTGTATTCTCTCTCCGTTCTAATATTATTGTCCACAGATAAAAAACACATAGATTAAAAAAATCATTAATTACCACTAACTTTATTTAATAAAATAACAATTTTGTTCTTACTTTACATTTAATGTTCCATAAAATGCTTAGTTGGTTAAATAATACTGAGGAGATATTTTGGTAAAAATGTTATATATTTTTAGAAGTGGATTATTATTTTGGAATAAACCAAAAAAAAAAGATGAACTATAATTTTAGGACTGAGGGAGTACATAGTAATACGCCTTCTTTATTGGGTGAACGCGTAACACATAGTTTTTGGGAATAGATTCTTTAATTGAATTAAATAATACATTTAAATAAATTAAATATAAATAAATAAGCTAGTTAGAATAATTTAAATAACAACAGTTTATGAAAATTTAATTAATGTATAAATATTAGACGATTAAATGTCCAAATTATAGCATTTGGAGATAAATAAACTTAAATTGTCAAAAGGATGAAAGCGTTGTTGACCAAGTGTTGACCAACTTAAATAAAGTTGGACTAGAAAAATCATTTTATGGATCAAGAAGGACTAGGTATGGAACTTTCAAAGTTAAGTGTAACAAGTCTGTCAAATGGGACTGTGTTGGCAAAACATGCATTCTTGAGGGTAGAAATCAAAATTTTGCAAATAAGATGTATCACCTTCTCCTCATTTAAGAGATGACATGATGTTGAGTTGATAGGATCCTATATATGACTATTCCATCTTCAAATGGTATTTTGAAGCAATAGATCATAGTCATCTAATGAATAGTCAAGCATTTCGCTTATCAAAATCATGCTTAAGGAGCAATATCTCATCATAAGAGGAATGAAAGAGGAGGGGATGACGATTTTTGAGGTTTCAAAAAGAGCTCTAAGGTTGGAGTTTGAAATTCAAGTGAGAGATTGAAGTCATCAACAAGTATATGAATCACTTGAGGTATAATTCTTCCTAACTTGCTTAAAACTCAAGCTAGGGTTTTGGCTATTGAGGTAAATCGATTCAGCACGTTTTAATGGTTAGGGTTTTATTTTCTAACCATCCTAATGTGGTTGATATGGCTCTAAGCTCAAGTCACCACTCCCATGGTGGATTATGAGTTTAGGTAAAAATCTAGCCATGAACCCTATATTTCATATCAGGGATTTTGAAGTTTCTAAACTATGGTAGATAGATTTTATGATCATATATGAGGTTTGGATGCAATAAATACATTATGGATAGACAACCCATTTCTAAGGATTGTGTAACATCCCAAAAATACGACTCAAAATTTTCATTTTTAAGTTTACCAAATCACAAACATAAAACATCATTGATTCTAAGATCACGAAAACACAAAATAGTTATAGTGTATAATCAAAACAATTCGTGGGAAAAAAACATTGAGCATAAGTCCGAAAATCCCTACTGCAGGAAATCATAGTGTGATGCGACGCGATCAAGTCGGCCCTTTCCCCTTTGAGCTGGAAGTACCTGAAACCAGTGTTGTAAAACTCATCGAGTTGGCCGATTACTCCTCCGAATACTCGCAACTCGGCCCCTTACAGAGGCAAGTTACAAAATCCCGAGTACTCCCCGATCGGCCCCTTACAGAACTAAGCAGTGTTGTAAAACCCAGTCAACTCGGTGATTAACATGTATAATATACTTAACGATTTATTATTTAACACAAACATATGTGATTATTACTACATATATACCTTAAATTTTCAGTAATTATTCACGAAATGAGACCATTATGTGTTTTTCAGTTTTTGTGTATTCACATGTATCTAAATTTGTTATATATTTCAATCAACTTAAGATTTCAACTTATGATTTTGACATATATAAGTTTCCTAAAAATATTTCTACAAGAATTACCGAATCCGAGTACTCCTGAGTACTCGCTACTCGGTAGTCGGCCAAACAGGTATCGAGTAACGAGTTCTACAACTTGCCTGAAACACAAACTAATATAGTAAGCACAAAGTTTAGTGATTTCCCCACCATATCACATACTAATAATAAATATACTGCAAAGCATATCCGGGTGCCGGCCTACCCCTTCGGTCTATTTCAACCGGATACTGCCGAGTATATTTGGGTGATCGGCCTGCTCCTTCGGTCTATTTCAACCGGATAATGTCGAGCTTATATGGGTGCATGGCCTGCCCCTTTCGTCTATTTCAACCGGATAATGTCGAGCATATCTGGGTGCTTGACATACCCCTTTAGTCCATTCCAACCAGATACCGGGTCTATTTCACCCTTACCATTACACGTAAATCACATAATCATCAAGCAATATGTGAACAATGATAATTATCACACATACAACCATCGTACTATACAATAAATGAAGGGTCAGCCTTGGTGTCTTTGACCCGTAACATTCACGAAGGGACACTCACCTCAACTGCAAATGTCAAAACGTACTCCTTGGACGACTTGAAACTCCTCTCCCTATAGCACAATAACCTTCCTAATTAGACATCGAATCTAAACAAGTCCCCAAGGCCCAAACCTTGATTCATGACATAAGGCAAAGGTTCCCTAATCTTTACCCTATTGGGCCTCTTCCTTCCAAGGCCCAAATTTCAAATTAAAATGTCCAAGTCCATCCAATTAAGCCTTAAGGCCCAATAAGGCCCAATACCATAAATCTTAGGCCTAGGCACAAAGGCCTTAATCCACAAGTGGGCTTGAGGCCCAACAAATCCAGGCCCAAAAACCATATTTGACCCACTGCATGCATACATGCAACGTACTTGGCACGTAAGCCCAACGTACGCTGGCCTTGATCAGATACGGGAGGTTGACCCAGTACGCGCAGTGTACCATGGGTACACCCAACTTATTGTCCAGTCACCTTAGAAGCTTCATTGTCACTTAATCAGTTAAGTCCTAACATCCAGAACATAGATCCAGGCCCTTAAAGACATCCTAAACCATAAAGTTATAAACTTTATGATGTTGCATGCATGGATGGGGATTAAGACATGATTTAAGCCTATAAACACACTTTGTGGTCATCTAACAGTTGCATGGTTGAGGCTAAACCACCAAGACCCAATTTTTATGGCTCCAAACACTTCCAAGAGCTTAAAAGGATAGCTTATATGTCACACCCCCGAACCAGACGGCGGAAACGTCCGAGGGCTATCGTGACTCAATTGAATACCATCACATTGCATATACATGAAACATAACATTATACATCACCAACATTTGGAATGATACAACTGGTAGCGTTTACATCCATTACATTGTTCCCAAAACATCACATTCTCAAAAATAACTGTTTGTTACTAAATTAAACCACAGCAAAACGTCATAGAGTACAATTCATCCTCCACTTTATCTGTTACCTGAGAATACAAGTATTTTGAAAACGTCAACATATGAAATGTTGGTGAGTTCATAAGTAATGTTTGCAATCCAATGTTTGTAATGTTTTGAGAAACACCAGAAAATCCGATATTTTCTGAAAATAGTAAAGTCAAAAATGTGTGAAGATCCATAGGTATGCTTGTTTGTTTCTATACTTGTAAAATTTGTTCATTTAAAATTTGTGTGTATTCCGAATCCGTATGTATTGAAATACCCTAGGAAAACCCGATGTTTTCCTAATTCGTACATTGAAACAATTGCAACATGTGAAGTTGTTGGTACCAGGCGACGTTGGATTATTGTTGAGCATGATTATTTGCTACAAACACACGTTACACAAACGACTAGTCTATAGCGATACTAATGATTCCGAAGGGGTCGTCCGTACTAATCACGTTCTCCAACCGCCCTGACTACGTGTAGTCCCACACCCGAAGAGAACGAGGACACGAAGGCCTCAATAACTCCATTAGCCGGTCGGGGATAAAAGGTACGAGGGGTCCCAGACCCGCCTCGCATGAAAATGTAGACTTTACTAGCAATACCAAAGGACCCTTGGGGACCAGTAGTATACGAGCCATTGAAAGTCCTTTTACGTTATGTCGGGTCGGTAAAACCCAACACTTCGTAAGAGAGAGGTCTTCGGGCCTTAAGATCAGGTCATTGGGCTAGCTAGGCTTAACGAACAAGATTTTACACTTTTGGGGCCCAAAGGTGGTGCGTAGACGTCTGTGCACACTCGCATGTATAGTGACTTCCCAATCGTTATCGTAATGTCGTAATGTCATAGTGTCGTCGTGTTAGTAATTTCGGATTTTTATTGGTTCGAGACCGAACCAATTCGTTTGACAACGACTTTTGGTGTTGTAATGTATTGTATTTCGTCGATAGTTGTGGTATCATCATTTGATCAAATTGCATTTATTGAACTAGCCTTGAGAATTTTTCTGTTTTCAGCCCCTCATTATTTGTAAAAATTTACTTTTTCAACCCTTTATTTAAAAACTTTCCGGTTTGGTCCTTAAATCAATTTTCTTGACATTTTAATACCAAAATTTTGAAATAAGTATTTTCCAGCATATTTTTCATAGAAAATAGCTTAAGTCCCTGAATTTCAGTTTTTCTCGGTTATAACCCTTCTTTTTCGAAAGTTTGACAATTTTGGCCCAAATTGGAAAATTTTTGCAACTTTAGTCCCTTTTAAATTTAAAAAGCTTTTAAACCTTTGAAAAGGACTTGGAACACTTATAGTCCACTGTTTTACAGAAAAATACAGTTTTGACCCTCCAAAACAGAAAATCTCGCATAATGGGCCTCATTGGGCCTAAAATGTCATTTTTAGCCCATTAAGCTTGAAGTTTATGTTTTTAATCCTCTAAATAAGTATATTTCCAGAAATTTCTTTATTGAAACTGTTTTGACATAGTTCAACCATCAAAGTTCGTGATTTGTCAAT